AAATTCGCCCCACCTTGCCTCCCCCCCCCCCCCCCCGGCCAGCCCTGCTGATTGGGAGCTCCTCCCAAGCATGAGGGGCAGCATGGGAGAAAACACAAAGGTGCTTGCTTGAAAATGGAGGCTGGCATGTGAAAATTGATATGTGTTACTTATCCCCCGAGTTACCATAGTATACGTACATGAGGACATACATTTGCTGATGTACATACAGGGCTGATTGGACATAAGAGTCAACATCTCAGTAGTGAAAGAGCGATGATATATTGGGGAGATAGGCTGTGAAGATCCTAGAAAGTGAAGAGAAGTAGCTTATATTTGATGCAACTGAGAAAGGGGGAACCAGTAAAGGATGCAAAGAGAGGGATGACATCGTCAATGTGATGGGCTAGGGAAATGATCTTTGTAGCAGTATTTTGAATGGATATGAGTAGGGTAAGATTACAGTGTCAAGCCCAGAGAAAAGGATGTTGCAGTAATTGAGACGAGAGATGATGAGAGCCCGGACGAAATTTTTAACTGTATGGATGGATAGCAGAGGCCATATCTGAAAGATGTTGTTCAGAAAGAATCTGCAAGATTTACAGATAGCTTGGGTGTGGGCACTTAGAGAAAGAGATCCAAGTTGAAAACGATGCCTAGATAATGGTCCTGAGCAACTAGTGTCTGTAGTGATCCTAAAAGGAGGTAGTGGGTAGAGCTTTTGGGGGAAAGATTAAAAGTACTGTTTAGCCATGTTGTACTTGACCTGATAGCTAGACTCCCACTAGGTAGGACATATCAGAGTGAGAGGTTGAGATTTTAGTTTGGGCAGAAGGAGATAGGTCTGCAGCAGAGTGGTAGATCTGTGAGTCACCAGCATAGAGATGGTAGTTGAATTTGTGAATAAGTTGTGGGGGAGGAATCCTTGAGGAGGCCACTTAGGGATCTGGGGCAAAAATCAGTACTTGGTCCTGCTAGTGAAGGCAGGGGGCTGGACTCAATGACCTTTTGAGATCCCTTCCAGTTCTATGAGATAGATATATCTCCATGTATTATTATTATTACTCAGATGTAATGTGTAGCAGGATAAGAGATTGGGGGACTTAGAGATGTAAGGCAGAAGGGAGGCTGGGGCAGTTTCTGGAGAGGCAAGTGGGCTCAAGGGTGTTTTGGGGATTTTTTTTAAGATGGGAGGGACTACTGTGCGCTTGTAATACAAATAGAAAGAGCTAGAGGAGAGTGAGAAGATGAGAATAGACACAAGGGTGATCAAGAGACGGGATGGGGTAATGGGAGCAAATGGAGATGTTAGAGAGGGGAGCAGATGAGAAACATTTGTGTCTGTGACCGGAAAAGGAGGAGAGAGTTGCAGGAGGGAAAGGAAGAAGGGAAGAAGAGGCAGTGGGAGGGGGAAGGTCATGGTGTTTTTTATCAACTTTTTCTTGGAGGAAAAATGCAAGAACCTGTGTTGAGAGAGAGAAGTGGAGACAGGAAGAGGGGAAGGTTTGAGGACTGCATCAAAGATGATAAAAAGGTGTCTGGGATTAAGGGTATGGGATTCAATTAAGTTGGAAAAGTAGAATTGCTTAGTTAGGAAGATGGCAGAACTGGAAGGGAAGAGAATGAATTTGTAGTAGAGGAAGTCAGCCTGGCCATAGGATTTCTACCAATAACACTGCAGTATATGAGCAGGAAGTGAAGAGGCATATATTGGGGGTGAGCCAGGAATCGGGGTTGGCAGGATGGATCTTGCAATGGGAGAAGTCCAAAAGAATCAATCGGAGGAGTGTAAACCATGGAGAGAGTCAGCAACAGTATCAGTGAAAGAAAGTAAGATAAGGAAGGAAGGAGGGGGCTGAGAGCAGATGAAGGGCTAAAGCCTGACTAAAAATGAAGTATGCATAAGATAGGATAGTGAAAAATATTTTAATAGACAGGGTATATATATGATATATACAGGGCTGGCTCCAGGCACCAGCCCAGCAAGCAGGTGCTTGGGGCGGCCAAGGGGAAGGACTGTTCGGCGGTAATTCGGCGGCGGGTCCCTCTTGGAGGGAAGCACCTGCTGCCGAATTCCCACCAAAGAAGAAAGCGGCGCAGTGGAGCTGCCACCGGAGTGTCGCTGATCGCGACTGTGATCGCGGTCTTTTTTTTTTTTTCCGCCGCTTGGGGCGGCAAAAACCCTGGAGCCGGTCCTGGATATATATGGACTGTTTCATCTTTACTAAATTATTTTCTGAATATATCTATGAATATAGAACATAAAAGAATCCAATGCAGGTCTTTCCAGAAAATAAACATAAAAAGATA